AGTTAGCGATGGGACGAGAGGAAATGGGCTCAAGCTGTGCCTTTCTGGTTTAGGCCAGAAATTAGGAAAAATTTCTTCACGGAAAGGGTAGTCAAGCATTGGAACAGGCTGCCCAGAGAGGTGGTGGAGTCACCATCCCTGGAAGTGTTCAAAAAATGGGTAGATGTGGCACTTGGGACATGGTTTAGTCTAGTCTACCCTTGACTGGTTTAGTGAGGATTTGGTAGTGTAGGTTAATGGTTGGACTGGATGATCTTAAGGGTCTTTTCCAACCTAAACGATTCTATGATTCTATGACTTCTCTTTGATACAGCTAATCAGAGAAGGGATAGGGGTACAAAGCAAATCTTGACTTGGAGTACACAAGACCTGGTTTAAGATACAACTCTGAAAAAGCTTCTTCTAGTCCAGTCTGGCAAAAATCACACTGCTAATAGTGATCTGTTGTCTTCCTAACAGATGCTGCATTTGAATGAAAGCAAAAAATCTGTTACAGCTGCATTTAATTTAAAAATGAGAAAGTACTTAAAAGGCAATCAGAAACTGCAAATAGAATTATTAGAATAGAATATACTATTTCAGTTGGAAGGGACCTACAATGATCATCTAGTCCAACTGCCTGACCAATTCGGCGCTGACCAAAAGCTAAAGCATGTTAAGGGCATTGTCCAAATGCCTCAAACGCTGACAGGCATCGAGCACCTCTCTAGGAAGCCTGTTCCAGTGTTTGACCACCCTCTCGGTAAAGAAATGCTTCCTAATGTCCAGTCTAAGCCTCCCCTGGCACAGCTGTGAATCATTCCCACGCGTCTTGTCATTGGATACCAGGGAGAAGAGATCGGCACCTCCCTCTCCGCTTCCCCTCCTCATGAAGCTGTTGAGAGCAATGAGGTCGCCCCTCAGCCTCCTTTTCTCCAAACTAGACAAGCCCAAAGTCCCTAGCTGCTCCTCATAGGACATTCCTTCCAGCCCGGCCACCAGCTTTGTTGCCCTGCTCTGGACACATGCAAGGACCTTCACATCCTTCTTAAATTGTGGGGCCCAGAACTGCAGGCAGTACTCAAGGTAAGGCCACCCCAATGCCAAACACAGCGGGATGATCCCCCTCTTGACCGGCTGGTTATACTGTGTTTGATGCACCCCAGGATGCTGTTTGCCCTCTCAGCTGCCAGGGCACACCACTGACCCACACAGAGCCTGCTGTAGACCAGCACCCCCAGATCCCTTTCTGCAGGGCTGCTCTCCAGCCACTCCTCTCCCCAGTTTCTACTTGTGCCCAACATTACTCTGTCCTAGGTGCAGAATCTGGCATTTGAACTTGTTAAATTTCATCCCATTAATCATTGCCCAATGCTCCAATCTATCTAGATCCCTCTGCAAGGCCTCTTGTCCCTCAAGAGAGTCAACAGCACCACCCACATCATCAGCAAACTGGCTAATGGTGCATTCAACTCTTGCATCTAGATTGTTGATAAATATATTGAACACACTGGCCCCAGATTTGAACCCGGAGAACACCACTGGTGACTGGTCACCAGCCAGGTGTAGCCCCATTCACTGCAACCCTTTGAGCCCTGCTGTTCAGCCAGTTCTTCACCCAGCGCACCGTGAACCCACTCATCCCACAGTTGGACAACTTGTCCAGAACGATGCTGTGAGGGACAGTATCAAAAGCCTTAGTGAAGTCCAGAAAAACTACATCTACCACCTTCCCTTCATCCACGAGGCAGGTGACCTTATCATAGAAGGATAGCAAATTAGTTAAACAGGACTTTCCCTTTGTGAACCCATGTTGACTATGCCTGATGATTGCATTATTCTTTAAATGCCTTTCAGTAGTACCCAATATAATCTTCTCCATAATTTTTCCAGGAACTGAGGTTAGACTAACAGGTCTGTAGCTCCCTGAGTCTTCCCCCACGCCCCTCTGATAAACTGGAATAACATTGGCTAGCTTTCAGTCAGCGGAGACCTCCCCAGACTCCCAGGATGTTTACTATATGATCAAGATGGGTCCTGCCATAACATCCGCTAGCTCCTTCAGTACTTTGGGATGAATCCCATCAGGGCCCATGGACTTGTGAAAATTCAGCTGATACAGCTGGTCCCTTACAATTTCAGTGTCCACAAATAGAAAGTCATTGTTCCCATGCTCACAGTTCTCTGACTCAGGGGACTGGGCAGCCCAAGGTCTGTCAGTACTATGAAAGACTGAGGCAAAAAAAACATTGAATGCCTCTGCTCTTTCTTCATCCCTATTAGTCAAGATGGCCATCTTCCACAAGTATTGGTCCAATGTTTTCTTTAGACCTCCTCTTGCTATTAATGTACTTTAAAAAGCCCTTCTTGTTAAAAAAACATACCTTCTAGGATCAGAAAAACCACTTAGAGACAATACTGCACAGGCTCAAAACGTATTCCAATTTAAAATCAGCAAGGATTACAAGATTATCACGGTTAAACAAAGAAAAAGAATAGCCCCCATCTTTATTAGCCTTCCAACAAATAGAGATCATGTCTAAATAATGAGAAATAAGTAACATAAGGAGTGTAAACTCTGGGAGACACACAGTCATAATGAGATGGCTAAAGAACTCTGAGAAGCTAATTCTACAAAATGTAGAAAGGCTAATAATAAAATAATTTTTCCAATACATTGAAATTAAAGAGACTGAGATAATGAAGTAAGTATGATCCAAAAAACCTGGATTTGTAGCCCACATTAATTATGAAGGTTTGTACAAGTACACAAAGTGTATTTTATATGATGAGTCAGATGAACAATCTCAAAAGAGGTTCAACTGAAAAGGTTTGAGTACATATGAAATAAAGCAATTAGCAACCAGGATGAAATGCTATTCAAGGCAAGAATTCTAAAGACATTCAAGTGAAACTACTGAAGCATTAATCTTGCTGCATGATTTGTGTCTTATACTAGCTCAGTACCTAAAGAACGGCAGGTGGCAAAAGTGACAGCAATTTTTTAAAGGCACCAAGGCAATCCTGGGAACAAGAGGTTTGCCCATCTAACTCTTGCTAGAGAGTTGGCTGTTGAAATATGGTAATACAGAGAATGAACTTTTATACATAAATCAGTATGACATAAGAGGAAAAAAATAACAAGACTTCTGTAGAAAAAAGTAACTAATCCAATCGAATTCTCTGAAGAAATCAATTTACTTGTATTATCATACAATATAAGCGAGCCTGGGTTTTCAAGAACGTTTAGAGAAGATTTCTTATCAAAGCTTCTTCAAAAGGAAAAGAAAAACACAAGCTGTTATGATAAAAAATAAGAAATCTTCTCAAGAACTGGTTGAAAGGACAAGACACAAAGGGTAGAAATAAAGTAGTTTTCATAACAGACAATGATTATCAGTGGAGTCCCTAAAGGACTCTATGTTGAGTGTTTACCTATCTGCACAAAAGTCTGGGAGAAGAGAAGTTCAAGTGGGGAAAAGGCCTGGGGAGAAAGGCAGGGGTAAGGGTGGGTCAAGAAGGGAAACAGACGACACTACTCAGAACTCACCTTCTGCATGTTGGCACCAGCCATGTGATATGCTAGGAAGTTATACCAGTACATGCAATCCTCCTGAGACGGAACAGGCGTATTAAGTTTGTAGTATTTCTTGTACTGATTTACTATGTTTTTATGTAGCTCCTGCAATGTGAATCAAAACACACTTTCAGATAATACTATACCAAGGTATGGACTGGTTTCAGTATTGAGGAATTATTATTAATATTATATTGCACATAGTATTGAGGAATATTATTATTTCTCAATCATTATATGTCAACAAAAGAAATAAGAAAAGCTTACCTTCCAACACCATACACTTAACCTAATTTATTGCTTAATACTTCTCCAGATACATTCTCTGGATATTAAGACAGAAAAGCAAGCTGTTAACCACCTTCTTAGGTTGAGAACAGCCATCAAAGCACTCTTCACATTAAATGTGAGTAGCCAACAAAAAAAAGACTCTTACATATGTATACCTAAAGCAAGTCTAAAAAATTGCCTTTTCATATCTACTCTTTCTGCCTGGTCCTTCAGAACTGATAAATTTATTGGGCCCACCTCATAGGTCTTCTGCCTGCAAGCATTGCTTAAATTGGAAAAAAAAAAAAAAAAAGAGTAAAAAGCACTTCTCTGTATTAAAGAAACTTCCTATTCTGGTAGGGTCTTAATGCCTCTGGAATCATTAGTGGAACATGCCATCTCCCACTCAAAATGTCTTTGACAGAGAAATAACAGATACAGAGTCTTCATTCAGTTTAGTTTCTTAGCTCCAAATGGAACCATCATGAAATCACTCCACAGTTTCAAGTTGAAAATAAGTGGTTTTAATTAGTCAGCATTAAGTTTAACTACATTGTGAACCTATTCTGTGAAGCTACTCTGGACGCTATTTAACAGAGGAATATTTTCTGAAGAATGCCCAGCTTTGGAGAATAAATTTAAAAGTAGGTAAGTCAATACCCTACCTGAAGCTGGTTACGATTCTTCTCTATAAGAAAGTCAAGTTGAAGATCATGTAAATAATAATGGAATGACTTCCCATTACGATCACAGAACAATAGCGATTTGTTAACAAATTCCTGTAGTATATCTTCAACTTCTTCTGTTTCCATATCCCAAAGAATACAGAGAACCTAAAAAAGCACATTAAGACAGAAAAGAATCAGAACTAAGGGATAATATGACTTGTACGAATATCATAAAAGGCTACCAATTAACTGACAAACAAACCACATGCTAACAAATATAGACATATTGCAAATGGTAATAAATTCAGTAAATTACCAATTCTTCCATACCAAACTACAGGACAGACAATAGAAGTTATAGAATCATAGAATCGTTTAGGTTGGAAAAGACCTTTAAGATCATCCAGTCCAACCTACACTACCAAGTCTACTCTAAGCCAATCAAGGGTAGACTAGAGTAAACCATGTCCCAAAGTGCCACATCTACCCATTTTTTTGAACCCCAACTTTTGTCTATTTGTGCTGATTTATGGTGATCATATCTTTTCCTTAAAGGAGACAAATTTCACATAACAGTTTTTAAGCCTTCAGAAAGCTCAATTACAATCTAATTAAAGAATGATATACGGAATGCACAGTAATCTAACAATATGAATACATTTATTCAGTTACAATTTTTTAGTTTCACTACTGACAATAAAAGTCATGATGCAATAATGGACCCGACCCACCCAATCTAGCAATTACTATTAAGTTACATACAACATAAGTTATACACAACAATTATAAAGTTTATGAATTCTTTGAAGTTATTGTTTGTATGTCACTAAAAACTATGAGACTTCTGCATTGCTGTTATTACCTTAGTAGGTACTTTAACATCTTTTGGGAGGATAGAGAGGTCTTTATAGTAGTCCTTACAATTGTCATTCAGTTGTTCAACACTTATGGACATTGCTTCATCAAGAGCTTCATAATCATAAGAAGAAGATTTTCTTATTCTTTTAAACTGCTTATTCTGCAGCTGTTTGAGATAGTATTCCCAACGACTAGGGAAGTCTCGTAACAATGCACCGATCAAGGATATCACAAGAGGAGAACCTGAAGGAGAAGGTTAAATTAATCTTAGTTTTCAAGGAACACAATCCAATAGTTTAGTCAAGTGGTTGAATAAATCAGGTAATTTTTCCAGTACATTGATTAAATTCTTAAGGTGAGAACAGACAAACAAAACACATCATCCATGCAGACACTGGCAAACTCACCAAACGTAAGTGTAATAAGGGGGCAGGGGAAGATACACTGAAGAAAACTACTCAAAAATCAACATGAGATGCTTCTATTTTGTCTAAAAACAACAAAAAGCATTTAACAAACATTTGTGTTTGACTTAAGGCATACAGTATTAAAGAATCCTCCCTCCTCTTTCTGGGTCAAAACCTAGAAGTAAAAAAAATACATTTGGTGTTAAATGGTATGTTAAAGAGTGGCAAGTATACCTTTGCATTCCCTTACAAGGCAGTTAGCTTGTTCTGGCAGTTCTGATATTTTCGTATTCACAAATAAGGATAAAATCTCCAGTCCTTTCTCATGTGCTAGTCCACTTTCCACATGAACCTCATATTTATTGCCTAGACATAGAAACAGGGAAAAAATTTAAAAGAATGTAAAAAATTCTATGGAAATTGAGAGTATTTTCCAAGCAACATCTGGAGCAAAGGACCTGGCTCACAATTTTATGCACAGTATTTTATATGCTTAGTACTAAGAAGAGTATAAATTCTACTTATCAGAATCTAGTTTGCATTAGAGAGACATTACAAATGCATTATGGGCATGTCCTAGCAGTGACTGCTTAATAGCATAGAGATGATCAGTCTAACAGCAGCAGTGTCACACAGGTTAATTTATCCTGTTGACAATCATTGCACTCTTCAATGTAGACATATAACTTTCAGGGTAACATATAACATCTATTTCACAAAGAGCATGAAGTCTTACAGAGAAGAATTCTAAAACTTTCCCACTGTGCACAATAGACATAGATTCTATCAGATTCTTTTAAAAGTTCACAAGAACAAATTGCATGCATATACACACACAATCTGTGGTGCAGGAGAGGAAACTGTTCCTTACCAGCCACAGCATCTGTTACACTCCTGTCCCTGCTGGTGATAAGAACCTGACACTGATTATCAAATGCTTTTAATACCCAGGAATCCCAAATGTCATCCAGGATCAAAAGAGATCTAGTGCAAGAAGAAATATTGTAGATTTCAGATCAACTATTAGTGCTAAAACACAGTATTTCACTTTAACAATGAAAGAACATTTTCAGAATGTACAATGTAGCACTGCACAATTTTTTATATTAGTATGTAAAATATCTTAAGAGGGCATTAAACACTGCGCAAGAAAGCTAATATCTCCAAAAAATAAGTTTTTACCATTTATTGCTTTATAGCTACAATTGAAGTGTAAACAATAAGGTTTTGAGAAATATTTCCATTAGTAGATGCCAGGAAAACCAGAAATATTTACGCTGTTTTTCACATCATCAGCTACCATAAATGAAGAAAAAGGGTGTATAGGACTACTCTACTTGACACAGGCTAGTGATAAGCTTTGTGGGAGAAATCATTTCAGTTTCCTTTTGACTTGAGAGTTTTCAGTTTTGTCCTTGTATCTTCAGAAACCTATATGAGACTAACCCTCTGTGAAGGAATTGTCTTGGATGATGAGGCTCTTCTTACATAAACAACTTTTTATAGTGACTACATATTTAAATCCTACGGCTAGTCATGTTTGTAGGTTACTACGTGGAATCTCACCAGAATAATGCATAGTAGACTTCCCTAAACCTACCTATATCTGAAAAAGAAGTTACTGAAAACTGTTCTTAAAAGGTTGGTTCCAAGGGAGCAAGAAGTCAGAAAGATTAGCTGGCAAGCAGATTTATGAAAAGAAATACCAGTTGTTGTATTCTGTGTGTTTTGTGGAGGAAAGAAAGTTATTGAAATCCAATCCTGTAAATTGTTTAGATTTACTACTCTTTTTTTTTTTTTTTTTAAAGGGATGGAGTTTTCAGCTACACTAATCATTGGTTAAATTGTCTAATTCCCACTGAAGCATGCCAAGATGTTGCATTTTTCTTCAGCTAAATGACGCTTACGCCATCAATGCCTATAAATAAGGATTTTATGCTTCATAAACAAGTACATACACATTATACCACATTTTCAAAGTTGCATGTAAGTATTGGATACCCATATTTCATTTTTATACAATTCCTCTATTAACACCCATTTGATAAATCAGAGGGTTTTCAAGAATACCATCATAGCCATAAATGACTAATTTTGTGGTACTTTCACACTTGAAAATATGTTGGGCAGCATGAATTACAGCCTGATTTTGTTTTTAATTAATCTGAGAACTTCAGAGTCCTCCCACTCTTTTGGTAGCAGTGACTTTCTTCCCCAACCACAGCAAAAAACCTTAAATCCTAACTAGGATTATTAAAAAAAAAAACCCACAAAACAAAACAAACCACTGTGATAACAATCACAGGAGATTTAAATCTAAAATTTCTTACTTTAAAGAATATCATAGCTTCAATTTCTTCAACCATAACCCAATAAAATACATAATGCTATTTTGCTCTGGAAGTTTTCATTTGACCAGTACTTTAATCCCAAGAAACATACTGGATCCACAATTTGAATCTTTTGACTAATACTTTATTCCCAAGAAATGTACTGGGTTAACTATCTGAATCCAGAAATTGCTGAAATGACTTTTTGTCACCAAAGAGAATTCCATTGAAGAGCAAGCTCCACAAGCTGCAGAACTACTGAAGCTTCGTTTCCAATACACTTGCACCATATGAACCTCACTCTCCAGTACATTCCCCCCTACCTCCTCCCATGACCGCTATGATTTCCCAGATAACCCATCATCAGCAAGACTTCAGTTTGTTCTTACAACATTCTCACATATACCTAACTGGGCAGGATGCAGCACAAGCTGTAGCCTGTTCCCAGCTCATGTATCCAAGCTGGCCAATTAGCAAGACAACAAAATATGTTTCCCTTCAATTCATTCTGTATAGTCCTTTTTGCCACTGAAGGCACCTACTTGGATTTCTCTCCTTTATCCAGTTGTCATTTTTCTTAAACTTACAGAATTTTCAAAGATACAAAGTTCCTACCTTTAGAGTCAATTTTGGCAATATGCTTAAAGTGTTTTGGATAGAGGAGAAGGGAAAGGATAAAAGGACTAAGATGAACCGTGTGATCACATTAATGTGGTTTTGAAATGGCAAAAAGCAGTCAGACTAGAAAAGTTTTATAATCAATTCTCTTCCCTTTTCCTTGATGTGCAGTCATTCTCTGCAATACTCCTATCTACCATCTGTTACTTTATCCTGAAACAGATTAATGAACATTGCCAGGTCAACAGGATTTTACATGAAATACCAAATCATAGAATCGTTCAGGTTGGAAAAGACCCTTAAGATCATCCACTCCAACCATTAACCTAACACGACCAAGACCACCACTAAACCAATTAAGGGTAGAGGAGTAATTTCATGTTTCCTGGCTTGGTGGCTGCATTATTTTTTAATGAAAATGAAAACTAGGAATCATTAAGGTTGGAAAGGATCTCTAATATCATCATTCCAACCATCAACCCAACACCACCATGCCCACTAAACCATGTCCCAAAGCGCCACATCTACCCATTTTTTGAACACTTCCAGGGATGGTGACTCCACCACCTCTCTGGGCAGCCTGTTCCAATGCTTGACTACTCTTTCCGTGAAGACATTTTTCCTGATATCCATTCTAAACCTCCCCTGGCACAACTTGAGGCCATTTCTTCTTGTCCTACCGCAAACTACTTGGGAGAAGAGACCAACACCCACCTCACTACAACCTCCTTTCAGGTAGCTGTAGAGAGTGATAAGGTCTCCCCTCAGCCTCCTCTTCTCCAGACTAAACCACCCCAGTTCCCTCAGCCGCTCCTCATAAGGCCTGTGCTCCAGACCCTTCACCAGCTTCGTTGCCCTTCTCTGGACACACTCCAGCACCTCAATGTCTTTCTTGTAGTGAGGGGCCCAAAACTGGACATGGTATTCCAGGTGTGGCCTCACCAGTGCCGAGTACACTGCTCCTGCTGGCCACACTATTTCTGATAGAAGCCAGGATGCTGTTGGCCTTCTTGGCCACCTGGGCACACTGCTGGCTCATGTTCAGCCAGCTGTCTACCAACACCCCCAGGTCCTTTTCGGCCAGGCAGCTTTCCAGCCACTCATCCCCAAGCCTGTAGCGTTGCATGGGGTTGTTGTGACCCAAGTGCAGGACCCGGCACTTGGCCTTGTTGAATCTCATACAACCAGTCTCAGCCCATTGATCCAGCCTGTCTAGATCCCTCTGCAGGGCCACCCTACCCTCGAGCAGACTGACACTCCCACCCAGTTTGGTGTCATCTGCAAACTTACTGAGTGCACACTCAATCCCCTCATCCAGATTGTTGATAAAGATATTAAACAAGACTGGCCCCAAAACAGAGCCCTGGGGCACACTGCTTATGATTGGTCACCAACTGGATTTAACTCCATTCACCACAACTCTCCAGGCTCAGCCACCCAGCCAGTTTTTTACCCAGCAAAGAGTACACCCGTCCAAGACATAAGCCACAAGCTTCCTTAAGAGAATGCTGTGGGAGACAGTGTCAAAGGCTTTACTGAAGTCCAGGTGGATGACATCCACAGCCTTTCCCCCATTCACTAGGCAGGTCACCAGGTCATATGTGGCAGTGTATAAGGAAGACACTGCCACAGCTGGTGAATTGCCCTCAAACAAAACCAAGTGCCTAATTGTTTCCAAAGCTGGTATTTTCTCTTTTCCCCTTAGTTTCCTCAGCAAAGGTGCTCTTTTGACAAAACACAGTGAGTACCTCTTAAATGATTCACTTTGTGCACTACAAACAATATAGCGTAGCACAGCATATTAACCATGTTAGGCTGTCAAGTTACTTGGCTATACAGTAGCTGCCAACTTCTGGAACAGTTCACAATACCATAGGGATACATCTTACAAGAAAATAGCACACAGTTAAACATCCAAAAATCAAAAAATTTTGTTTTGTTTGTTAATGAAAAAAAAATAACAAGAATTGTGTCAATGGAGACAACCACTTAACTTACTTCAGGGAAACCTGCACTTTCAGTTGAAAGTGTCTTGTTTGCACTTTTCACATAAGACTTCCACAAAAAATGAAAGATTTCTCATGAAGGACCTGGCAGTGTTTTTCAAATCTTTTCTTTGCAAGAAAGATTTTTTTCTTCCCCTGTACAAAACCACCAGTATTCTACTACTCTGTGTCATCTATAAAGATCACAAGGTTGGAGTATTATTCCTGAGGTATCTCACTCAGGTGCAGGCTTGTTTAGTTTAGTACAGATTTTCCCGGAGAGTAACAAAATCCTCAACAAATAACAAAAACTATTGCTCAAAGATGAAAAAAGCTGCGCAGTGACTGAGACACTGCTTGATTAAATCAAGTCGCTCTTCCTGAAGCCTGAAAGCAATTGGTTTATTGGCAATAACTGATATCATGAAAACTTGCTTTCACTTTGATAAAGCTCGAGACCAAACACTTTAAAAAGACATCAGCTATTCCAGAAAGGAAAAAATTTCTGCAGTGATACACATCCTTTTACTGCTGTGTGATCCTCACACATCAGTGAAACATTCTAGACACATAATGAGAACACTGAAAGTTAGAGCAATTCTTATTTCCAACTGTTCATTCCCAACCTTCCTTATTCAACAACTAATAATTTTTCAAGTGAATGTGACTCCTGCACAGCTAGTTAACATATTTTGTTAGAAGAACCCTTATTAGCCTACTAAATATATTCATATCCACGACAAGCCTTCAATGCATCCCTTAAGTTACTCCATTGAAAAAAAAACATGTAAACAGGGACAGATTTATACTATGTATATTATACACCTGTCTCTAGCTTACCCTTCAGCTTTTGTACAGTTATCTGAACTTATTTATTCTTTTATCATATGCAAGTCAGTAATTTAGAAAATTTTAACAGGAACCTCTACACATGAATTAAAATTCTAGAAGTATTGTTAGCTTCACCTTGAATAACCCTTCCCAATTATCTACAGTAAAACAGAAAAAGGGAAAGCAAAAAGTGGAAGAGTTAGAAAGTTGGTTTTAGGGAAAAAAAAAAACCAACAACAAAATTACACACCAGAGACACGTAACCACAACACAGACACCTTAGGCGATTAGACCAAAATTACTCTGCGAAGTTTTATCAGTTAAAAGAATTGTGTTTCATTTTACTGACATCACCTGGGATATTTGCGTAGCATCAGCACACGAAGACGATCTTTAGCCTCCTCAATGTTAAGTGGTGGCCTTTGTGAAAGAGTGCAGTCATGTTCTAATCTACTACAGAGATTCTGAAGTTTTATTAGGAGCCCTGCTTTGTCTTGTTTTCCAACAGAGATCCAGTGAACTCCTCCTGGGAAGTAATCTAACACAAAAAGCAATATTAATTATGCTATACATTTAAAATGAGACATAAATAATAACAGCTTACAATAGCAATCAATAACTCAATTTCAATTAAAATATAAAACTGTAAAGTCTATTGCAAGCCAACCTTGCAACTCTACCATTAACGCAGAAGGATGGTTCTATAAGACCACTGTTTTTTATTTTTAAAGAAACAGGCTCTGCAGGGCAAGTTCCCACAGAGAATTCACACTGCCACTGATGCTGTTGCCCCTCCCCTCTACCTGCCTTCCTTCCTGTCCCTCGACAACCCCTTCTGCATGCTTCTTCCTGCTAGTCTGACTTAGCATTTACTTTTTTCACCCTGTACTACTGCAGGAGTTCAGAGTCTGGGATGTGAAAATTATCCCAAAACAGTGAACAAGAAGGCATCTAGAAGAGTCAGCTGCAAGAGAGGATGCTGTAGTTTCTATCCCTACATCATGTTTTCTAATGCCTGACTCCCACTTTAGCCTCCAAGTGCCCTGGGAGGAGGGAAAATCATTAAATGGTTTCATTTATGATCTGCTTTAAGCTAAAGCGATACTAGTGTCATCACTCCACAAATGCCTGCCATTATTAAAATATATACAAAAGTTAGAGTAAGATTTTTTTTAAACTCACACAGCAAGGGGAAGAATCTAAGGACTTAACAAGAAATGCCCAAAAGGAATATAAACCAAATATGATTATTTTGCACTAACATAAATAACAATTTCAAGTTAATTAAGGATGTATCTACTCTCATAAAGCAAAGCAGATTCCAAGGTGAAAAGCTATTCAAAATTTTATCCCATAAATTAGTAAAATATTTACTAATATTTTATATATATACTGGTCCTAGAGCACTAAATGGTTATGAAAGCTGTAAGTTGCAAGCCAATCCTTCAGAAGCACCTAAGGAATTTAGAAACCTAAATCCTAAATTGCTTTCAAGATGACATAAGATTCTTTGCCATATATGTCCAATATGCATATACCTATAGTAATTCTTATAAAAACAGAGACGTTTTTCTAAAAGTACCTTCCAAGAGCTGATGATCCCTTAAAGCTTCTGCTGTTAAAACAGTCTTCCCGCAACCTGCCATTCCATAAACTGTGACCCAGCCTGGATCATTTCCCAAGCAGCACAGTTTCTGTTTAATAGCATCTACCAGTTTTGGCCGAGTGACAAACACAACTGGTCTCTGTGGTACACCTCCTTCGCAGAGAGTTGTCTTAACTAAAGTTAAAAACAAGAAACATGAAAATAAAAAGTAATTTCTAAATGTGATGCCTCTTCAAACCAAACCAAACAACTCCCCGCCCCAAATAACTAGTGGGCTTCCCCCCCAAACTTGTGGCCCATACAAATGCTCTAAAAACTACTAGACTCATAACACCAAATACTGAAAAAATACTGCTTTTTGGAAATAAATTACTTAACAGGTAACTAGCTTCCCACCTAAAATAGTGTCCCACTTAATAACTACATTTTCTGCAAGCTAGTTACATCAATCTCTAGAAGTAAAAAGATAATTAACAGCTCCACTAGAAATTGTGGCAAACGCACCAGAGCTCAACATTACTATACCCAACTGTCAAGTCACTTTCTCAGCCAGAAGTTACTGCCCCAATGGATGCAGCAGAAAAGAAAGCATGCTCTGTAAGGCTTTTACTTTGTAGCTAACAGCACAGCATTGTGGTCCAAGCAAGACTTCCTTTGATTTGAGCTAAGACAGCACGACTTGCAATAGAGCAGGTAAAGCACAGCAGGAAAGGCAATGTGCACTTTATCTGTTCACTGCTGGCCACAAAGTGGCCATATGCGGTGCCGTATTATACTGATGAGCTTTGGGAAATCTTACTCAAGTAATCAAAATTCCATGTGTCTATGACACTTCTTAAAATGTAGAGTGACAGTAAATACAGCATTTAGTCATATGGAGTTAGAAGGTTCTTCCCTTAGAAACTACCAATTTATTTCATGTCAATCAAAGATGATGCTGATGACAATGTAGGTGAAAGTTAAGAACTTATGTTGGGTAACTAAAAGATCTGGTGAAGAGAATTAAGCAACCTAATAACCAGATCAACTATTGGAATGTAGGCTGAGAGATTACAGATTACTCTTCAAGAGATATGTCAGAATTTTGGAGGCAACAACTTTTTACGTTAGATTCAACTTCTTTAATATATACAAATAAGAGTCTTTCTTTCACATACAACAAAAATGTTACAGTTTAGAGAAATCTGTGCGAGCTTCAGGTTTCCTGTCTTTTAAAATAAACATTACTAAATATGAACATTTTCAAGATGCCCTACAAAAGTTGTAATTGTTATAACTCTCCTGCCATATTAAATGTATGAAATACAGAAATACTGACTACTACACTACCAAAACAAATGAATGCACCAACTACTCCTTTTTCATTGGAACAAGTATTATGGATAATCACTCAGTAAGGAATAAAAAATACAACTTGTCTTTACATTCAAGCACAGGGATTGCTGTAGTTATACTGACCGTATGAAGTCATTCCATCCATTGAACTCTTTCCATTACCAGAGGAGATGGCAGGGATGCCATCCTGAAGAAGCGCAGCAAGATCTCTGTACCCTTCATTAAGCAGTGCATTATAAAAGGATCTATATGAATTATTATCTTTTGTAAGAATAATGTTTATTAGCATAGCTGCTCGCTCCTTCTGTGTATTCTAGAAAAAACATTAAAAAAGATGTTATAAAAAATGAAGAGACCTTAGAAATCAACTAATTGATCACTCTATCAATTATTGACTTCTTTTATAGCCTTCAACTGTGAAATAGCCTTCAACTTGACCATGCCCTTAACCCAGCCTTACGAAGTGTGATAAAAACTGCATGCTAGGCATATACTTAAGAATTTACTGAATCCAGGAATGAGACAGACAGGAAGTATTATTTGTAAAAAGAACAATAAAACATGTGAGCAGACCAGGAAGATAAAAAACAGTGAGACAATTCTACCTGTTGTTTCACTTTCTCTTCGTCCTGTAACGTCAGTACTTCATCAGAAATCATATGATCCATAATATAAGAAGTCTTGATGTCTTTTTCCAGCGCTTGGCGATTCTTAAGTAAGTAATTTCTACTCTTCACATCCATATTTCTTCAGTGTCTAAAAAAAAAAAAAAGTCAAAGCAGAATCAGAACATAACTTACAAGTACAAGGAAAAGACCTCTAAAATAGCTTCTGAATTTTGGTTTTAAAGTCAGAAAAATTACCAAAGCAGCTGCATTAGTGGAAAATAGAGTGATGTTTCAAGCAAGCTCATACTACAAACTGCAGAAAGCTAAAAAATTTAGGTTTCTTTTTACTTTCTGTCTTGATAAAGAGACTTTCATACTATTGTTATATGAGTTTACTTACACTGTTTATGACCCACTAGTCCAGCTTGGCTGGGCAGTACAGTATCATCAGGAAAACACCGGGAAAATCTACTATCACTCCTTTTCAAGTAGAAAAAGGCATATTAATAGTTAAGTTGTAACAGTTCACAAGCTACTGCGAATACGAATAGTATTCTTGAAATATTATTTAGATGCCATATGCTATTATGTTTAATAAAAACATCCAGCTGAGCATTATTGCAATTAATCTGACTACAGTATTTCTCCGATTGCCCTACTTGGAGGCATATAAAGCAGGTATAATCAGAATTTCAATCTTTAACAACTAATTAGACTCATAGTAAAACTCTTGTGCTTACTACATGAATGGAAGTTTTCATTGAAAAAGCAGATAGGTACTGTGAATTTGTGAAGGAAAAAAAAATCCGAGTCCTTTTCCACATTTCTATGAATTTATCCTTATGAACACTTGCAGAACTGAAGAACCACAGTCTGTGCAAGCTTCTTATATACTAGGAACTTGCTAAATGTCTCTATGAAAAGTCTTCTCCCCTCCCACTACATCCCTCAAATTTTTGAAATCCTTGGATCACGTGATTGGGACAACAGGATGAGAAAGAAGTCTTGTGGCTGACAGCACTGGACAGAACTACAACAGAAAAGAAACTCCCTGTGTACCAAATCCCATGAGATAAACTCAATTTTATCTCCAACTCCAGGACTCCATACAAGTACACTCGGATCTTGACACATGATGGAAGATGGAGCACCCACAGAGCCAATGAGTGAGCTATACCTTCGTCAGTATCTGACACACAACTATAAATTTGCGTTCTTCCCTTATGTCATTAAAAAAAAAAAAAAAAAGAATCGCCTGAAGACGATATCAGATGAAAACTATTGTCGACCACGCAAAAGTTTTTCAGTACGGATAGCTGCCCCTGAGAGCCCCTAACGATCAAATTGATCTCTCTGATCACTCTCCGCTGCAACGACCGAAGGCTCCCTCGGCACTTGCAAGCTCCTCCACAGAGCAACTCCGCAGCTGCCTGCACAAGTGTTCACCTTTTCCTTCACTCCCTCCTTCAGGAGCCAAGTAGACGCAGAACAGCTGCCTTTGGGCAAGCCCGCGATGGGGTGCTTCTTCCGCCGTACTGGCAGAATTTCCTATTTTCACTGAAAATTACGTGGTTAGGAAAGTCTTCCACCCTACCTTTACCCCACCGCACCGCTCAGGAAGGGGATTTGAAAGCTCTCCGCTACTCCCAGTCGAAAAACGTCCACGTTAATAATAGTAATAATAATAATACAGGTAAAGCAACTACAAAAAGAAAGCCCCCCACAAACACAAGCC